GAGGTGGGCGCACAACTTCTGCTCACACGTTAACTCACAGGCGCGTTACGGGAGCGGTTGGAGCGAAACTCCAAAGCAAGTTGTTGAGCATCAGCTGGTGATTTAAGCCGTTTGATGAGAGTGAAGTTCCGTAATGAGATTTTTAAAAGAAACACGGAGAGCTTTCAATTAAGGATTTCCCCTCTTTGAGCCGCTGCAGACTGAGAGCGATTCTGGGAAGATGACGGTGACCTAACTTTACGTCCTAGGATCCAATCGTTTAGTTTCTTTTTTGGTGAATTAACACAAATGAAAAGTGTGTAAACTCGGAGGCTCTGAGCTGAAGCCCACCGGACGCAGGGAGCGTGAACCCCAGCGGCTCGTCGGGATGGCGCGCCTGTTGAACTGCCTGCTGCTGGGATATCTGACCTGGAATCTCCGGATATCGGATGCTCAGGGGGAGTACTGCCACGGGTGGCTGGACTCAAATGGAAATTATCACGAGGGTTTCCAGTGTCCGGAGGATTTTGACACCATGGACGCCACAGTTTGCTGCGGCTCCTGCGCGCTGCGCTACTGCTGCGCCGCAGCGGACGCACGGCTGGACCAGGGCATCTGCACCAACGACAGGGAGGTGGATAACACCGAGTTTGCAGCGCGTAGGTTCACTGATCTTAAGCTAATTTAGGTCCAAGATTGTGGCGTCGATTTCCTCGGGTCTTCGTCATGTGCGTAATTTGAGCAAGACGTCAGAAAAATCCAAATTTATTAGAGTTTAATTAGCTGAATGGAGAAAAACACACATGACTAAACTCTCAGTTTACTTTATTTAAGCCTGTAGTGTTTAAAAGGTAAACACGGAGACGCTGTGAGAAGGACTCGCCTATTTAAGTTATAGCGGAGCCTCCTAGAGAGGTCAGAGGTCAGCTGAACAATTAAGACAGCACAGAGCAGCAGAGGTTCAGCGCCTTTGCTGAAGGACACGAATGCACTCTGAGAGCATTCCCAACGAACTTGATATGAATTTCAAATATGAAATGAGTAGAAAATGCGTTTGTAAAACCTTTTTCCACCGCAGCGTTCTTATATGAAGTTTACATCCTTAATCCGCCTGAGGCTCCAGCTTCCACCTGCTCTTATCCAGCTCCTTCAGTTTCCATCACGCTCCAAATTATTATCAGTGCAAAGTGGAAACCTGGACACGTTTTCGATGACCCACCCGCCACTCACTCCACTAAAACCTCTTTAAACAAATTCCTGTCAAAAACTTGTGAGCAGAAATTAGTCGGAAATTTGATCAAGCGGCAGGTTTGCAGTCCAGGAATGTTTTGAAGAGTCGAACAGACTCACACAGACAGCTCTATTATGCTGCCCAGAAATAAAGCACATTAGCTTCGACAGCTCACTAATTTCTAAACGAAAGTAATCACAACATTAGGAGACGCGAGTCCTTTCTGTGGCTTCTTTATGAGGCGTTTGAGTGCTAGACTGACCGACTGTTGGGGGAGGTTTCATCAGTTTTCTTTAAATTTCCCCAACGGATAAGCTCATAAGCCTTTAATTGAGTGGATCGTATGCTCACAATTTCCCAGTTTTCCCATTTAAAAATAAATAAACACTGATGTGGATTTCTTGGGTGAAAAGGCTTCATGAAGCGTAACCTGAGATGTTTTCAGCAGGAATGTGACTTTTGTTTGTTCGTAACCTAAAAGAAATGTCGTGATTAGAAATGTTCAGCACAGTTTCTCCCACAATTAACAGCTGCACAGGTCATACTTCTTAGTTTATCACAAGGTGAGACTTTATTTTAAACGTATAAGGACTTTGTGATGGAGTTGCTGACTTTATTTCCTCAAACATTTTGAGGCTGGTGTATGCACATGTCATAGTAAGTTGTATTAAACCCAAATGAGCTGATATCACTGATGAAATGTTTGATAAATGGTTTAATATTACAGATCTGTGTTTCCTTCCCCACAGAGCCCATCTACGTGCCCTTCCTGATGGTGGGGAGCATCTTCATCGCCTTCATCATAGTTGGCTCACTGGTGGCCGTCTACTGCTGCACGTGTCTCAGGCCCAAGCAGCCGACCCAGCAGCCCATTCGCTTCTCTTTACGCAGCTGCCAGGGGGAAACCATCCCCATGATCCTTACCACGGCTCCCCCAAGCCTGCGAGCGCCATCGCGGCAATCCAGCACGGCCACCACCAGCTCCAGTTCAGCCGGAGGAGGAAGCTCCATGCGGAGGTTTTCTCTCGGAGGTCAGGGGCAGCAGCACGGCTGCCTGGTATCAGCCACCGTCTCATCGTCAGCCTCCACTCCCACCCAGACCCCACAGACTCTTCTTCCACCTCCCCCCTACACATCCCCACCAGCACCCATGACAGGAGGGATCCAGCACCCGCTGCCTTCATCCCACACCCAGTTGCAGCTCCATCAGCCCCCGATGGCCACTCACTCATCCCAGAACACCAGCTTCCTTCTCCCCCAGCAGTACTTCTTCCCTCTGCAGCCTGACGCCTTCACGGCAACCAAGGGCTTCGCTGACTTTGGACAGAGCTGACAGGGCTCTCAGCACGGGAAATAGAGGATTACACAATTTTTAGTGGGCAGGATGCGACCTGTCACAGACAGAAACACGCCAGACAAGGCTGGTGCCAGAGAAGCTATGCATGAGGCCCGGCCAATTGGCCGCAGAGCGAGTTGCTGGAGGGTAGGCACAAAGCGTGACAGAGCTGCTGTGGTCGACCAGCCCGAGGTACTTCCCCGTCTGCAGCACAG